GCCGGTGGAGCTTTTCCAAGCTGCGATACATGGTGGGTTGGGGACACAGCCAGGCTCAGGCTCCACTGCAGCTCGCAGGCAGACCTGGGCATTTGAGCACTGAGCCAAGTTAAGGACAGGGTGAACCTGGGTGGGTCACCTGCCCTCTCAGCTCCCCGATTTTCTTTATTTGTAGAATTGGGCACACAGGATGGTTCCAGGGATTCAGTGTGACCATAGAAGGTGAAGAAACACCAGTTCAAATATTCTGTTCAAATATGGCTTTGTTTTTTGTTCTTTTCCTCCCCTCCCACCTCCTCTCCACACAAATTGGGAGTATACCAAAGGACTTTATTAATTAACATCAGTTGGCACCAGTCTGATATTTATGACAACAATTTTGTCAGATCATTTCAACTAAAGATAAGACCTCTGACCTCAGGGTCACACCAGGCGGCAGACCAGCTCAGGTCTAACCAGGTCGAACCAGGACCAGTTTTCCATTCCTCGCTTCCACTATAGACTGACCCCAGGAGAACTGTCGGCAAGAGAGGGTGCTAACCCTTCCTGCTCCTTCCTCCAAACGAACACGACCTCTGACTAATGCCTGCCCTATTAGTAGGTGTGTAATTATATTTGTTATCCGTAAATACATTTTAAATGCTTTTATTGTCATAAAAAATTGCTAACCAGATTTACCATAAGACCTTTTCGCCCCCTTTCTTTGGAAGACTCCTTAATGACTATGCAGCCTTGGTGTTGCAGATGAGGAAATCAGAACAGAGAGGAGAAAACACTTACTCGGGGCCACACGGCAAGGGAGTGACAAAACTGAGCAGAGAACTCCGCGCCGCTGGCAGCTGGGTCGCCTAAGGGAAAGCACTGATTATGACAATTCGCGGGGATTTTCCAAGTGTCTCAACCAAGAAAGTGGAGCCTGGGTATGGGCCCGATGCTGAGCGAAGACGCTCGTGCAGACACAATGCTTGGAAATCACGAGGTCGCATAGCAAGCCAGCGAATCTCTAGCAAGGAAAACCGCCCCCCATGTTGATAAACCTGTACTGTTCCAAAATACAGGCGTAGACACTGCGCTGACCGCTCCCCGGCCTCGGTCCACACGAGTTCTAGTTGCTCCAAGGCCCAGGTTGGGGTCTGGCGAAGTTTCCCCGGAACCTTCTGCGCGGTTGCAACCATAGGCCCGGCCTCGGGCTGAGAGGTCTCCGCGGGAAGTAGGCGGCACACTCCGCCGCCCCGCCACTGCCGAACAGAGTGCGCACTGCCTGCTGCAGCCGGGCCGCTGCCGGTGAAACGGCGCAGCTAGCAGCCCTGCTTGGGCAAAGCCGCATCCTTGGGCTGCAGGCCCCAATCACCCACAGCCGAGCTGTCTAGGACGAGCCGGCCCTAGGGGCGCAGAGGGGCCTCTGGGTCTCACGTTTAGCTCGAGCCGGGAGGCGGCCACGGCAAAGTCACCTCGCTCCTGCTCTGGTGGTAAACGAGGTTCGGCGCGCAAGGCCAGGAACGAGGAGGCGCTGGGCGCCTTTGGATCTAAAAAGCGGAGTCTGCCGCCTGAGCCGGAGTTTGAAGGCCTTTCTGCCCCCACTAAGACCGTCTGGCCTAGTGTCAGGATGGCTGCAGTCTCCCCGCCACCCCTCAAGGCCGCATCTCTATACCTCGCAGGACAAAGCTCCTTGGCCTTCTAAGAGTTAGAGAGAGCGTGGTTTGGGGATAGGAGCACGGGATACTCGTTCAGCAGACACTTCAGCCGACGCCGCGCGACCGACCCAGACTAATGGCTGCATTTCTTCGAGCCTTGGTATTTTCATCTGCAAAGTCGGGGAGGAGCATCTAAAATGTGCAGAGATGTTGTGAGTTGGAAATCACACACTGTGCCCCAAGCGCCAGGCCCCTCGAGCGCTGTGCATAGAGTTACTAAATGAATATTCCCGACTGGAGGAAGCCAAGCGGTTGGCCTCAGTTTTTGGCGCAGTCTCTAGAGAGCTCAGATCGGGCCAGGTCCCCTTGGGTTCCCTATCCCCAGTCTCCGTCGGTTGAACTGACCGGGGCCTAACTCCCAGGCCTGGCGCGGCAGCCTAGCTCTCTCCCAGCCGACGCCCTGGGTCCAGGCCTCCCCGCTGGCGGCGGGGCCCCAGGAGAGCCTGCAGGACCGTCCGCCCGGGCGGCGAAGCTTCCTCTCGCCTCACTGTCCTGAATCTGTAAAATGGGCGCGGGTTTAGAGACGCTACGAACCCAGGGTACGGAAGGCCACGGGAAACGTTGGCGAGGAGACGCCTCCAGCCCTCGCAGGGGAGGCGCTGCTTCTCGCCATCAGCCCCGTCGGAGGCTGGGCCGGGGGTCCACACTCACCCGCCTGCCTCTGGAGTCTGGGCTGCTACCGAGATGTGGTCCGGCAGATGGGGAGCCCAACCTTGGGTGCGGCTGGTGAATGAGGCGTACAGGTCGGACCTCCCACCTGCTCCATATTTTCTCCCCTAACCTCAGCCTCAAGGAGACCTGGTTGGTGCAGTGTTCACTTCGGCTGCTATCGGAAAGGTTGGCCATTGTATTCAGCAGCGGGAGAAAAGACCTGGTGTAGCTACTCCCTTAAAGGTTTCTGCCTAGGAATGCCTCTGTGGCAGTTCTACTCTGTCCTATAGCGTCGCTCTAAGCCGAAATTGAATGGACAACGAGAACAACAAAGCTCAACCTGCCTGAGATAGTAGCGCGCCCCGACTCTCCCTCTGATTGTGGCACAGCCCTCATGGTGGGGGCCGGGTTCCTTTACAGGGCGTTCTCGGGCTCTGGTACCGCGCAGCCACAGTGGAAGCAAAGACCTCGCGGCTTTCCACGTCGGAAAGAAGGGGGTTCAGCGCTAAACGTCCTTCCGCGGACGGCGGTCGCTCCCCCTCTCGGTGGGAGTGCCTCCACTGCTCACGCTGGACGTGGGCGAGGGATGGCCGCGACCCGGCACCCTATCTCGAACAGATTCTTCTAGCTCTTCTTTGGCTCCGCGAGGCTCGCCCGGGGAAAAGCGGCCGGAGACTGCAAACGCCGCGAGGGCAGCGGCAAGGGAAAGCCAGGCGCCCCGAGGGCCGCAGCAAGATCAGCAACCACCCCTTCCTTGGTTTGTCTGGACGCTGACCCCGGCGGGCCTCTGGACCAGACACTGCCGAACGCGAGGTGCCAGAGAGAAAGAAAAGAATACAAAGCATGCGTGTATCCCCAAAGAGGCCCAAGAACCTAGGATAAATCCGGCAACACAACAGAAAGAACTTAAAAAACAAAAAACTAAGCCTTATTGTGGGGAAAAAAGGCTAAAGCAGGGGCTGCTCATTCAGCAAAGTCAGGGTCAGCAGATGCTTGTCCGTGTTAGGTGTTCAAAGTCCCGAGCCCAAGGCCCAATTTTTCCCATCTCGTTCGTCGACCTTTTTAGGAAAATATCCACGGAAGACACCCAAAGATCTGAGTCGCTCCAGTCCCTCCCTGGAGTGTCCCCAGCGACTCAGATTCAGATTTGTAGGGGTTGGAGGTGGAGATGAGGGCAGGAGCGCTGGGAGCGCCAGGCTATTTCTGAGAAGGCTGCCCCTTCCCTGAGCCCCGCAAGCGCGGTCAGGCCGCGGCCCGCGTGCAACGAAGGCGCTGAAGCATCCAGCAGGCAAAAGGGCGGATGGCCGGTGGGAGCAGTGGGATGATCGAGTGCGCGGGGCCTCCGGGATCAGCCCCCATGGGTTTTAAACCTCGGAGAGCTAATGGGAGCTGTGAGGAGGAGGGAAGAAGGAGGAATGAAAAAAAGAAATGGGAGCGAAGGAGAAAGAGACTGATTCGTAGAGATGATGAAGGTAAGACAAAAAGGTGAGGAAGAGGAGGAAAGGGAGGGGTGAGGGGAGGAAAGAGACCGAAAGAAAAACCTAAAGAAGAGACAGAGGAAGGAAAGGGAAGAAAAAAGAATATGACAAACGAGAAACTGGAGAGAACGAACTACAGTAGAAAAGCAAAAAGTTATAAAGGAAATACATATAGTAACACAAGACCAAAAGTAACAAACATAAGGAAAAATGGATAACATTGTAAAGAAAGAAATGGAGAGGCTAGAAAATAAAAGCCTGGAAGGACGAAAGAGACAACACAAAAGGAAACAAATCAAGAAGCAAGGGCCAACATTCACGGGACCTTTCATGTGTGTTTGTTGGTAGTTGGAAAGGGCCACCCGCTCCAGACCTTAAGATTCCCAAAACTTCCAGCAGCCCTTGAGCCGTGGTAAAAGCTGGATGGATAGAATTGCTGCTACACTTTCATACCCAGGCTTGGGATTCCATGCGTTGCGGGACCCCGCCCCCTCTTGTTCAGGGACGCCGTCGAGGCTGCTATGACGTCACGTGACGTCACACCCCACCTAGGGTCCCACTCAAACCCGAGGATACCGAGGTCCTGGGGTCGTGTGCTGCACTTGCTCCCCAGGCACAGAGCGTTTAGAGGCCGTGCACCCGGCTCTATACGGATAGCCCGCCCACAGTGCAACCGAGTCCAGGATTTGGTCCAGGCATCGAGCCCGGGGCCTCTCTGAGGCCTCACTGGAAAAAGAGGGGGACAGCTGGTAACGATGGGTGTTCCAGGTTCCAGCTTGCTGTCCAAGGAGTTCGAGGGCGACGCGCCTTCCACTCCCCAGGTGGCTTTGACCTGGTGACCAGCCTGGTTACCTTTTCAGGCCCGACCTTCCGCTTCCGGCTAGCCCTGGCTCTGAGTTTTGGCCTTCCGGCCTAGATCTCCCTTCCCACTGCCACTCCCCATCCCTCGGGTACCCAGTTTGCGGGCGGCCGCACGCACTGACCTGCACCGTGGGTCCTCCAGGGGCCCCGGGCTGGCGTTCGAGCTGAGGTGAATAGCAATGAAGCTTGGAGAACAGGACGCACCCCCGCGCACCGCCGCTCTGCCTCTACCGCCTAGGGGTGCGGGACCAGGCCGGGGATCGCCGAGCATCATCGGAACGAAAACGAAATAAAAGCGGCGTTAAGTGAAATAGCTAAATAGCTAAGTTTCTTTTTATTAAATAAAACGACTTAAATAAAAGGAACGGAAAATGAGAGAAGGAGACCCAGCCTAAACGCAGGGTGCCCCGGCCCCTGGCGCTTCCCCTAACCCCCGAGTCGGCTGCCCCTTCTCCACCGCCTCCGCAGGGGAAGCAGGTGGCCGATTTCTAAAGAAAAAAGCCAAAACTTTTATTATTTACACGTTTGGGCAAAAGTACAAAGTATAATACAGGCGCCCAGCCCGGGGGGTGCGGGCGGGGGTCGGAGAAACGTAAGGCGCTTTCTTTGTCAGGCCGGGGCCTGGGGGCGGGACGGGGCACGGGGTGGGGGCTCGGATTGTACAGCCGCGCGGAGCCCGGGCCCAGCCCCCCTCCGCGGCCGGCGGGGGTGCGACCGCGCCCCGGGCCCCCTAGAGCTTGGCGGCTTCTTCCCCTCTCGGCCCTGGTTCTCCCCCAGCCCGGCTGGGGGCCCCGGGCACCTCCCGGTGTGAGCGGCGGTCCGAGGTGACTTTGCGCGCGGGTGGCTCACACCAGCGAGGTGACGGCAGGAACCTTGGAATTATCCTCCTCCCAGGGCTGCAGATTCTGCAGAGCGAAGAGCGACGAGTTGTGCAGACAGAGCGGGTCCGGCTGGATAGAGTCGTTGAGGCTCTTTTGGAAGGCGTCGTGTTGCAGCTGCAGCATGAGCCGGCTCGCCTGCTGCCGCTCCGCCTCCCGCTCCTCCGCCGTCTGCCGCCTGCACCAGGGGAGGGAGAAGGACAGCACCGTGAAGCACCCGGCCCCCCGCGGCCGCCGGCGTGGCCCCAGCCTTCGGGGAGCAGAGGCCAGGCGGGGGTCTGGAGGCCCAGAGCCCGTCTGCCTCCAGTTCCGCGCGCTGAGCGCGAGGCCTTTGCGTCCATGGAGGTGTTGGGCTCGATTGTTTTTGTTGTGCCTGGGGGGTGGGGTAGCAAGGAGGGGGGCCCGCCCGCCGCCCACCTGCACGTCCGGGTATTGTGGTTTCGCCAACAACAAAGATTGTTTCTTTTGCTGCACAACAAGGGCATTTGTATAACTGACTTGGCCCTAGGGCACCAGGTCACTGGGGTTGAAGGGTGGGCAGACCGGCTCTGCACAGCCCGCGCGGCGCCCCCCGCCCGGTCAGCCTCAGTCAGTTGTCTTAAGCCTTGTCTCACGGCCTTCTTCCAGGAGGCGATCTCTTCGCAGTTCACGGGTTGCATCAACCCGGGATCGAATTAAAACCGGACTGGAGTCGAGACAAGGAGCTAGCTAGAAAGGGACCTGGAGCCCACGCACATTGTCAGAAATACGAGGAGAGCTGGAAAGCGGAAGGTAGGAGACTGCGAAAGACCTCCGGGGTGTGTGTGTGTGTGTGTGTTTATGTGGGGTGGGTAGTGAAAAGCCGAGTGCAGTAGACGAAACAAAACAAGGAGCGAGTTGGTGAGGCTCACGAGAGCGACACAGGGATGGGAATGGAAGAGAAGCTGGGGTGCGGGAGGTGTTAGGAGAGAAACACAGGCCGGCAGGAAGAAGAGAAAGGAAAAAACATCAAAAAGTGGAGAGCCGCAGTCCTGGGGGAAAGTGGGTAGAGGGTAGCACAAGGGTGGGGAGAAGGCGAGGCTGTGGCGCAGCGCGGGATGGGTGCAGGGTGGGCCGGGCCTCTCACCGCCACTTGGTCCTCCGGTTTTGGAACCAGGTCTTGACCTGCGCGTCCGTCATTTTGAGGGACTTCGCGAGCGCCGCCCTTTCGGCAGAGGCCAGGTACTTCTGGCGGTGGAAGCGCTTTTCCAGCTCGCAGATCTGCACCCGGGAAAAGGACGTGCGCGGCTTCTTACGCTTGGGCGGCGTCCGGTTCTGGTAAGGGTGGCCGATGCGCCGGGTCACAGTGAAGGGCGTGAGCGCCGCCGCTGCTGCGGAGACACACGAGGACGCTGAAGCCCAGCCTGGCCGCTGTTCAAGTCTGGTGCGGAGCCCGTGCTGCCCCGTGGGACGCATAGCGCTCCGCCGTTTCCTTGTCCCGCTTGTTCCCAGCGGCAGCCAGCCGATTGGGAGACGTCCCCCTTTTCCCTGGGCACTGCCCTATTTCCCGCAGTTCCCGGGTCTCCCTCCCCCTACGGTTGTCCGGGGCGCTGGGCTCTGAGGCCTCCACCGCGCTAGGGCCTCGGGAATTGTTTCCCGAGTGGAGTGCACAGGGCGCGGCGCCTCTGGCCCGGGAGGGCCGAGGCCCAGCGCCTGTTTGCCCGCCCTGCTCACCTGTGAAGCGGTCTTTAACGAAGCGGCGGCTGCTCTCCATCCAGGGGAAATTGAAGCCGCCCAGGTTAGAGACCGTGGGCACGGAGGGCATGGCGGGCAGCGCGCTCGGCAGAGGCGGCGGCACGGCCCCGGGAAGCGGCCTGTGCGCCGGCACCCGGATTACGCCGGCGGGGGCCAAGCTCAGGTTGACACTGTAAGATCCCGCGTCCTCGAAGGGCGCGCCGAGGCCAGCAAAGGAGGCGGGCAGAGACGGGTACGTGGCGCCCGGCCGGCCCCCGGGGGGTCCTCCCAGGTAGCTGGCGCCGTCGGGGCCCCGTGGAGCGGGCGCGCTGTCCTGGTCTGGGCTGTTGAGAATCTGGTCGATCCCGAAGCTGATGGGCTCATGCGGGTGCGGGGTCTGCGCGCTGGCGGGCGCCTCCATCCTGGGCGGGCGGAAGGGCTGGGTTGGGCTGGGCGGGGAGGCGGCTGGGTCCCCGTTACGGCGCGGCCATGGAGCGCCCGGCGCCTCTCGTCGCACTGAAACTTTGCCAAGAGTGCGCGGGCCCGACAGGCTCTGTGTCATCTTTCTTGAACCGAACCTGGAGTTTCCGCTGCTAATTCCTCTCCCGCCGCAGCCATTGGCTGCGATCAACAAGCCTCTCTCCTCCCATTGGCTCCCGGCTTTCAATAAAGGCCTAATTCATGGAAATAGGAGCTTAGGGACTGTTCCAAGGTGACATCATTTTAACAAACGAACAATAGGTCAAATTTATTAGCCGGGATAATGGGCGGCGGATATTAGCGCCCGAACCGCAGCCTCCCAAACCCGAAATCTAACGAAGCTGCAATTAGCAGACGCTCCCCGCTCCTCTTCGCCCCGGCTGCGGCGCGGCCGCCGCGAGGGGACGGGAGGGCGCTAGGCGAGTGAAATGGTGTTTCCTGAGCGTTTTTTTCGTTTTCTTCCAAATTTTTCTTTCTGAGCAAAACCAAACCAAATGAATGCTTTCAATTACAATGGAGTTGCAACCCACGAACGACCCTACTGAATCGGCGGAAGCGACTTGGACACTTCGTCGCCACGGGAGCAACCAAGGGGCGCACTCCCGGGCGCAAGCTCCGCGCTCCTTGCCAGCGGGGTGCGGGGAGCACAGTCTCCTGTCCAGCGCTTCCGAAGACGTGAACCCGCGTGGGGAGAATTCGTCCCCTCGCAGGCTTTGGCCGCGGCGTCGCGACCACTTTGGAGACGCTCCCTGGAGGACCCAGACACGACTCGCAGGTGCCCACACGTGCCGGATCCAGCTGGGCTAGGAACTCGATGTGGTCGGGTGGGGAGCAGGGATCCAGTCCCTGGAAATTCGTTGCTGGATGGATAGGGCTGTGGTCGCGCGGGGGGACCCTCCATGGCGCAACAGGGACTGGGGTTCTTGGGTTCCGGAGGGGCAAGGGCAGGGGAGGCTCATACATAGACATTTAGAACAATAATCGCCGGATTTTTCTGGGTAATGGGCTCAGCGAGCCCTTCCCGGGTCCAGTCCAACCTGGGCACTGGGACTGCTTTCTGCTCTACTTTCGCCCCCAGGGGGTATCCAGGCGGGTCGAGGACACTGTGGGCAGACCAGGCCCAGGACACACGGGCGGCCACCTGCACCCCCAGCTGACATGCAGAATCGTTTTCTCCCTGCTAATTCTGAAATCGTTAGGTGCAAACTCTGACTGCTGCACTCAGGCGAGGCCAATTCCTTGCGCTCCCTGTCGTGCGGATACTGGTGAGAGCTGGGAGGCACGGCGGCCAAAAGTGTGTTCCCACTTGGGCTGGCCACTTCTTAGGTAAGCGACCTTGAGCAAGTGACTCCATAGCTTTAGGCTTTGGTTTTCTTACTTATAAAATAGGAAATAAAGCGAGTTTTGCGGGACTGTGGTGAACTGTCTGTGTGATACCCAGAGGGCGCAGAGAGAGCTTAGGGCCTGGCACATAGTAGGCCCTGACTGCAGTGGCTTCCACAGTCCCCCGCAGCATGCTGATTGGTGCTTTGTTCTCATGATTCTTATTTATTTTGTTTGCAGTTTTATTTTGTGTACAAGGCTCATTATCCTGGAGATAACGGTGCATTTATCCCCCTTGGAGGATGGGGAAGGGCAAGAGGCAGCAGGTTTGAGATTCTTCCTTTCTGTCCCAACAATTGAGGGACCACAGGATTTGAAACCTAAGGCCTGAGTCCAGAGTTAGGCCACTTGCCGGCTGAGTGACCTTGTCGGAATCTCTGGTCTTGAGGAATCTCTGGGTCAAGGGGGAAAATGAGGATTGCAGGATGCCTGGGGTTTGGACCAGTGCTCCCTCACTCTGCTCCTTCACCCCATTGCCAGGGGCAGCAGTCCCCACCACTGCTGCTGCTCAGGGTGCTGCTTCTAATTTGGGCTCTGCCTCTGGCTGTCTGGGAGCTCCTGGGTCCTTCACTGCCCCTCCCGGAGCCCCGTTTTCCTTATTTGTAAAAGAGAAAGGGTAATGGCTACACCCCAGGCTGCCTGTGAGAAGTAAATGAGATGACATCTGTGGAAGTGCCTGGAACAACCCTGATGATCATGTAATAACAACTTGTAACAACAACCAATGCTACTGTAGTGTGTACCAGGCATGAGGGTGAGCATTATTTAGACCTCAAGACAACTCTATGAGGAAAGGGTGGTCAGTGACCCCAGTTTTTAACACATGAGGTAACTGAGGCTCTGAGAGTTCAAGTGACTCACAGCCCCCCACTTGGGGGCAGGAGTTGGCTCCTTACCAGCTCCACTTTCCTTCTGGCTCCCAGAGCCCTGGATTCCAGGCCTGCCCCTACCACTGCCTCAGATCTGTAAATGGGGATAACAAGACCCACTTCACAGAGGTCTTCGGGGGCACAGAATCAGGGAGAAGGTGCGGGTGGTGTGTGTGAACAGCGTATTTCCCAAGACGTGACGGGTGGCCCCCGGTGCAGTGCTTAAAAACTGGATCCACACTTTAGCTCAGCAGCTCTGGACTCAACAAATTACTCATCATCTTTGTGCCTCGTTTCCTCAACTAGCAAAGCAACAGTACTTACCTCCTGGGATTAAATGAGCTCATCCGGGTAAAAGCAGTGTGCATAGTACTTTGGCTCCCAGCTTCTTGAGATCTGCAGCCCCTTGGCTACCTAGCCATGGGAGCATCCAGGGACCGTCAACTCCCTTTCATTTCCAGTCTGGATAGAAGGCAGGCAAGAATGGGAGTTGATTGGGGCTGGTGGCCTCTTAGTAATTCCTCGGTTAGTGGTTCTCAAAGTGTGTTTTCTGAACCAGCAGCAGCAGCACCTGAGAATTTGTTAGAAAAGCAAATTCTTGGACCCCAGCCCAGACTTACTGAATCTGAAACTCTGGGGTGGGGTCCAACAATTAGTGTTTAAACAGGCCTCCAGGGGATTTGCATGCATACTCAAGTTTGGAAGCCTAGAATATTGTCCATTTCAGCTAAATTTTTAAATATCTCGTTGTAACTTTGTGGGAAGATTCTCTCATTTAAAACTCTCATCTCAATCTATGATACAGTCCCCTGCTTTTGAGTCCTGGTGTTACTCATTGGTGCCTTTCTTGATCGACCACTCATATCCAAGGTTTGTCTATTTTAGTTTATTGATAGACTTCAATTTCATTATTCTTTTTTATGCCACTGATTTCATAAATTTTAAATTTTACTGTCATTAATTAATTTCTTTTTTCTGTTTGTTAAGGTGAAAATTTGGTTTATCTTGGTCAATTTTCCTTGTTTTCCAAATAGAATCATTAAAACCATGGTTTTCTATGAGCACTGTTTTTGGCCAAATATGTTTTGACATGTATTTGGTGTCCCTGAGATTGTAATTTTCTGCTGCCCCTTTTCACCTTTGGTTAATTGAACGAGACACACATGTGCAGACAGCAAACACACAGGTGTGCAAGCGTGTGCACGCGCACGCGCACACACACACACACACACACACGAATGGGGAATTATTTCTAAGAACTGGGACCTAGGGGACCAGGACTGCTCAGGCCCTACAGACTTCCAGGATGCAGCACACCCTTCCCTAAGGAGAAGTTGGGAGACAGAGGCAGAGCTAGGGAAGCCATGGTGGGAGTCAGATAGGAGAGGGAGACAGCAAGACCTTCAGGATGAGAGGCAGGATGCTGGAATTTCCAGTTGTCTATGAGCCCAAATGCAGGAGGCTTCTGTGTGAACTGAGTCCCAATTTCCACATCTGTAACATGGGTTAGAGATTGAATCAGTGTTCTTAAACATGTTTGGATCAGCAATCCTCTGTGAAAGATTTGAAAAAATAAGATGGACTATGGAACAAGACACACATATAATTTGGCACATACACAGCCACAGGTTGCTGACCTGCCCACCCACCGTTTTTGGTTCATACACTCTAGTTAAGGGCCTTTCCAAAGACCTCTGGTGGCACAGTGGTTAAGTGCTTGGCTGTTAACCAAAAGGTTGGTGGTTCAAACCCACCCACTGCTCCATGGTAGAGAGGTGTGGCAGCCTGCTTCCGTAAAGATAGCCTTGGAAACCCTACAGGACATTTCTACTCTGTCATGTACAGTTGGTTGCTATAAGTCGGAATCCACTCAGTGGGTTTGGTTTTGGTAGGGGCTCTTTCATTGCTCATGATGGGAGGCTCTAGATACCTGCCCAAATTTATTTACCCATTAATTCATTCGACAACTCTTTACTTACTGAGCACCTACTCAAATTTTCTGCACCATGCCCCAACTTTGGGCCCCAACTTTTCCCAAATGATCGTGCCAGTTCATGAGCTCTTCAATGGGGAGGAAGGACTTGGGAAGGATGTTCTTGGGGGGTTCAGGGGCGTGGGGCTCTGCCAGTAGGAGGAAGGGAGAAAAAGGCCACCAGATGTGGGGATGCTGCTTAAGTCTTCTCGCCCAAATCTACCATAGGCCAGGAGGCTTGAAGGACAGTTTAGGGAAGTAAAGTGAAACCCTTTGCCCAAGTACACACGGGGGTGGGGTGGGGTGGGGTGGGTTGTAGCTAGGGTTTGAACTGAGGACTATCTTGACTACAAAGCCCTCACTTCCCCTTTACCTCACATCCCATTTGTACTCTGGGAGCAGGTGGTCCAAGTTCCCTGTAGCCAACAGAGTGGGGAGGGAAAAGCAGCGGGAAAGGGTCTGGGTGAAGGAGCCCAGAGGAGGGGAGAGTTGGCTGCAGGCAAACGTCTATCTGCCTGCTGCCCTGGCCTGGGAGTGCCTCCAGGGCAGAGAGGTGTTGGTGGCGTCCAATCCCACGTCCGGAGCTGAGCCCAGGAAGAACCACCCTCAAGAGTTCGTGGTGTTCCACTGCATAGCACACAGCAAGGTCAGATGAGGGGATCAGGACAAAGGGCCAAGGACTTGGAGAGGACTCAGTTTTGCATTCACCTCCCCCAGCTCTTACCAAGGCTAGTGGCTTTGTATCCTTTAAGAGCCCGGTTAGTGATTGCCTCTCTGCTCTCTCTCTGTCAGT